AATCAGAACATTAAAAAAGATAAAAATAAGGGGTAGAAAAATATTTAAAAAGTAAGGTAAGATAAGATAAAAAAAATGTAAAAAAAACCAACAAAAAACAAAAAAACAACAACAATAGCAGCCATAACAGAGTGTCCGTATCAAAGTGTCAGGTGAACATTATTGAACATAACCATAGTGTTACCGAGTTAACCATGTGCGTTTGGAAGTCGTAACTGCTGTTGGATAGAAACTGCTTTGCTTAGCTTTACAAACATGTAGGATGTGACACTTTTGATCATAGGTTTGTCCTCTGCCCCGTCACCTAGACTCTTTGACATTCACCTAACAATGTTTGAAATATTTCTTCAGTATAACCTGAACTAGTTGGTCTAATTTACTCTGACACAGTTCTGTGCTCTGCTGTGCTAACAGGCCAGCTCTGTTTCTGTGCTTATTTATACACAGGGAAATGCTTGTAATTGCTGACAGCTGACTCTGAAATGATTTGTCATTTAGGTTTTTGTATATCATTTGTCAGTAATTATATCTCAGCACAGCAGAAGTAGTTTTAAGTGTGTTTAATTAGAGAGCTCAACATTCACCCTTCATAAATACACAGACCACTGAGGAGAAAGAAAACTCTTTCCAGAACATTCAAACTGCTGATGCACAGATGTGAGTCATGCAATGTTTTTTTATCTGTTAATCCAAAGTTTATTATTGCCTGCGAATATATATATATATATATATATATATATAGCTTGTGTATGTGTGAGTATGCCTGTAGTGTTAGCAAAATATCTCATGAACCAGTGGGAGGATTTATATCAGACACTCAGAAAGTCACTGACTGAACTACAGGGTGTATTTTCATGAAACACTCAGGAAGTAGACATTAGATGTACATTAAATCTACAACATTTTAACTATTTGAGTCAGTCCAATCCAAGATGCCCTCCACAGCTAATCAGCGTAAGTAAAAAAAAAACTGTGGTTATAATTTAGTCACATTACCATGCACTGTAGTTAAGAGTCACATTTCGCTGAATGTTTCCACAACTTGCAATATCTCAAAATAATGCATGAAACTGTTCAAAACATTTGCTAGGTTTGATCACATTAGAAGTGTTCCTTCACAGCACAGAATGATTTTAGTAATATTTTGCATTTCTTTAAGGAATGCTAGCCTTTAATTTTGGTCAGTAAGTAAAACTCTTTAAGATGTAAAATCCCTTTTTGAAAGTGTTCTGACCAAGATTCTCAGCACACCCCCCGCGAACCCCCCGCACTGAAATGGACGGGACAGAAGCAGAAGGTGGTTGTTAAAGAGACAGAGGCAAATTTCAAGGAGTTTATAAGAGGAAGTGATGAGAAGATAAGTTTATTTTGTATTTAAACATAAAACAGCATTTTAATAACAGCTAAAGGTGACATAGGCACTTTATTATGGCATAGTATTTAAATATATGCCTGAGAAACACATAATATTGGCCCTTTAAGTCTGAAGTATATTTGGTAAAGTGCCAGATGGTTCCACTCAGTTGTTTGTGTTTGTCTGACTCTGTGTGTGTGCACTCGGAGCTTCTTCACCCAAGCGAGCAAGCAGCAGAAAAGTGTGTGTTCTCACCCCAGATGCTGACCTGTGTGTGCCTCTGGACACACAAACACAGACCCTTTAACAGACACGCAAAGTTTTCCTCTTTCCGTTGCCTTAATCACTTTTCTACTTCTCTTCCATGTTCTCTCCCTCGCACTCCTCCGTCTCTTTCAGCACTCTGCCTTCATTTATTATTTTCCCTCAGTTGGTCCTTCGTCTTGGCCCAGAAAGGTTGCCATGGAGACAGCAGCAGATTTGATACAGAGAGGAGAAATGAATTATACAGTCATGGGAAGCCATCTGTGTGTGTCTGTGTGTGCATCTCTCCAGCCAAAAGGGTTTTTTTTTGTAGGTTTTTAATATTTTATGGTTCCTAATAATATTCCCACTAAATAGTTAATATGGATCAGAGCTTCGTTGCGTGGTTGTGTCGGTGCCTTCTTGCACGTGCACTCGAGTCTTTGTCCACAGTTTTAACATGACGTCATGTTTTATTTCTGATTCCGTGCTCACAACATGTGGACTTCCTTCATTTGTGTGAAGTATGTTCACATTGGATAAGGCAAAGTCTCACATCAGCTGGGAGGACTTGACCCACATTAAAAAGCAGTCAACAGACTTGATTAGTATTGATTTGTTTGAGTTAAAGGTTAAATAGCTCTTCGCTGAAGAATGGAATGAAATGAATAGACTTGAAGGCAAAACTTTAAAAGAGGATTTTAAATGAATTAACAAGGACTTTTTTGCTCTCACGTTCTGACATTTCATTGTCAAAACAATCTTTTTTATTTATAAAAAAAAGATAATCTCAATCAATACTGTCTGCAGTAAATAAGCTTTTAGATTATTGATTATTTAGATGGCTATGAATAAATTCCAATATTATTAACCTGATTTTTGTAAATGGAAATTTTGAAATAGTATTTTGTCATTAGATTACCAATTAAAGGTACAAAAACAAATTATTGGTGCAAATTTGTCGGTAATGATTAGCTGGTTCTCTTACATTGTAAAAGTGATCCTTTTTTTTACAGTAATCAATAGTTTGTGGTGATCTTTTGTCTGGACGAAAGATCAGTTTGTCTGCTCTGTAATAAAACATTGTTTAGTTGACTGCACTGCTGCACCCAGTGTTCACTACACACGGCTTTTATTCATTTAAATTGTTGTGGTTTCAGCTTGGAACACGTTATAAACCCATTTTTGACTGACAGCAACATTTTTGACAGCAAAGCGTTTTTAGTTTATGATGTCAGTTTATTTTAACTAAAAGAAACACAATCTAAAAATGAAATGTTGGATTTACTTAACCTTGTTATGTCAACTGGTTCTACTTAACTGAGTTGAGTAAATTCAAAGCAATATGYTCTTTGGTTAAAAAAAACTGGTATCTTGCTTTGAATTTACTCAACTCAGTTAAGTGGGACCAGTTGACATAACATGGTTAAGTAAATCCAACATCAAATTCTTTACAGTGCAGATGCAAAAATAAAACACAGCTCTACCTTTATTTTTTCCTTATGAGTTGGGATGCAGGCAGACAGGCAGGTTGTAGGGGTGTAAATCACCAGCTTTATCACGATACRATATTACATCGATATGTTGGATGACGATTCGATATTTCTCGATAACACAAAGTCTGTCATGATATGATTTTGACTCAGTTCGATTCACATGTCTGCGATTGATGTAATGCAATATCATATGCCCATCTAACACAATGACTGTGTTAGATGGGCATATGATATCAATTCACATCGAGTATATGATGATGATCTAGATCGATATTTTCATTTTGCCTCGTTATAACTGAATCATGAACCATTCAAATCGATATATCGATATAGATCGATGTATCGTTACACCCCTACCAGGCAGGTGTAGGTAAAACACTTTTCTTTCTTAAAGAAAACAAACAAAAAAAAACATGGTGCTTCAATTAGAATGTCCCACGAATTAAATAAAAATATCTGAAGCAGAGCGTGGTGGCACAGTAAAATCAGAGAGACCACATTGACTAAGGAAGGAAAACAAAAAGTTGGGAACATAAATATACATAATACTTTATTGTGAAAATCAGAACAAAAGGAAAATACAAAACCACCTGAAAACCTTTGGATTATGATAGAAGCAATGGGCCTCATGCAAGAACATGTTCSTATTTTTATCCTAAATTTCTCYTACTTTTGTTCGTACAAAGGGTTCGTACGAACATGTCACGTCAGATTCAACAAACTCTTCTATCTTCAGGAAACGTGCGTAAATGAGCTGCGTAAATTCCCACCTGTTCTATCCAGCTGCTCGTGCACGCGAGAGGAGATTAGCATAATTACCACCCCAAATACACCATATAAGGCTATGATTCCTGCCTCAGATATCAGGAAGTGTCCATTCATAAAAATGGCAGCGAAAACTTAAAAGAAAAACTTTACGAGTTCAGAGATTGAAGTCCGTCTGTCAGAGATCCAGAAAAGAAAATCTGTCATTTTTAGCAGGTCAGCTGTGGGATAAAAAGAGCTGCTAAAAGTATAAACAACTGTGTTAAATCATTTTCATTTATTCAGAAGCCGCAGCGCAGCGCTGCGCACCGTAACCCCCCCGCGCGCGCGCTGCGGTGGTCTCAGATGCGGGTTTGAAATAAGCATTTTAAAATGTTTTCAAAATAAGTCTGGCACTTTGGAGAAAATCCAGGACTTGATCATATATCCCCTCTGGTCTGGGAACGTCTTGAGTCCCCCAGGACGAGCTGGAAAGTGTCGCTGGTGAGAGCGGGGTCTCTCTGCTGCTGCCCCTGAGACCTGATCCCAGATAAGCGGTGGAAAACGGACTAACGGACAATTTATATTGTTAGTCTAAATTATTACATTTAAAATTATAACTCTAATTCAAGCAAAATAGCCAATTGTCAACATAATTATGGAGTGTGATTTATTTTCAACTCAAAATATCTTCAAACTAACGAAATATAAAGTTATTAGTGAAGAAAACCCGTCTGGATAAAAGCAGACTGACTGCTCGTAAAATAAACGACAGGTCTGGACCACTCGTGAATTTTGTTCGTATCTGAAAAAAATCGTAGAATACGAAAACATTGGTGAATGCCACAAATTCTCCTAAATCACTCGTACGCACAATTTAAGAACAAATCTGTGCGTATGAACGGTTCTTGCATGAGGCCCAATGTTCTCGCAGTCCCTCAAAAACACCTGGCTCAGCAATTTGTGATTTTTCCCCCCTTAAAACTAAGCAGACTAGCATTTGCTAGCTCCGCTCATTTATTGCCTAGTTTATGGATTCAATATTGGTCGTGTATCCTAAGCTGTTTCAGCTATTAAAGGTCCTCAGATAAGGTGAGCAGGTATTAAAGATAAGATTCATGGTAGGAGAAATGGATTAGGATGGAAAAGGCTTGCTGAAAGGACATAACAGGAAAATGATTTAATGTTTAAGTGAGATTATGTGGAGGATGCATGTGAGGTGGTGGGAGGCAGGGGTAGATATAGAAATAAACATGATGTATATCAACATAGAAAGCACATCATAGGGTATGTCTTGTGTGCATCGTAAAACTCCTACATACAGACTCGTGCATACACCGTGAAGACAGATGTAACACGGCTCTTACAGATCTAATGAGCTAGAATGAATTGACTTAACAATGACCATAAATTTCTCCCTACAAATCCTGTAGCGCATGTAGACAGCAGCAGCAGTACAGGGTGTACAGTACACACATGCATACTCAAAGCACACAAAGGGATGGTGGGGAGGGATCACAAGCTTCACAGTGCTGGAGACAGTAAAAGTATAATAGGGAGGGGGTGTGTGGAGGTGGGGAAAAAGATTAGATAAGACTAAACTGAATGGTAACAATGATTTCTGTGGAGTTTATAGGGTTCAATGCAATGCTAACATAATTAGGGAGTACATAGATTTGGGAGAAAGGGCATTTGTGTGAGGACCCCCTAATATTGTAGCATGCACTGAGTGTGAATGTGAGCACAGTGCTGCAGAGGAATCACATTATTTGCAGTCTGGTGACCCAGTTATTGTGCAGACTTTGTGTGTGAATTATTCCTGGTAGCCTTGCGTTTGCCTGCGGCTATAGGATGACACCAAAGCACAAATCGGAGACCTCAGTTCTGCCCATTGCTGGTTACCTGATGAACTGCACCTAACAGTTTCACTATCAGTGCTTTGGTTTATTGTGTGTGTGTGTGTGTGTGCTGGTTAGGGCTGCACAATATTTGAAAAACTGACATTGTGATTTTTTTCTAACCCTGTGATTTATTTTGTGTACATACTGTATGAAAAAATAATGGAATTGAATAACAYTTTAAGTTATGTTGCCATCTTGTTGACAATAAACCTGCCCTGATCTTACCTCTTTTTGTGCATGTTACAAAAATGTTTTTGTCTGTATTTGAGAGTTATTCTTGTTCTTTATTAGTTGGTATTATTGGGACCTGAGAACATGTTTCCTTCTGTCATGCACAAAAGTGAATTGCGTTAACATGTTGTCTTTTTGTTGAGCTTAGTTTCTGTTTCCATCATGCTAAATATATTAGCATTCATGCTAAACCRTATTTTACCTCTTTTCCTCCTTGTTTTTGTCAAGAACGTCATTGTCCTCATCCACAGCTTGAGAATTCATGGTCAACAGTTGTCCGAAAGACGCTGCCATAGTTGTCCCAGAAGTTCTACATCAAAATGAAAGTTGTCTTTGTTGATACGAAGCGGCTCACTTTTGCCAGCAGAAGCAACCCGTTAAAATTAAAGCCGTAACACACAACCATTTTGTGCAATGACTTGTGGTAACACGACGGTGCTTAGCATTGATGCCTCACAGCAAGAAGTTCCTAGATTCGATCCCCTTTTCAGACCTGGGGTCTTTCTGTGCAGAGTTAGCATGTTCTCCTCGTGCTTACGTGGATTTTTCTGGGTACTCCAGTTTTCCCCACAGACTAAAAATGTACAATAGGCCAGTATAGGTATACTGTATTTGAGAAACTACAAATGAAAATATAGCATTTTTAAGCTTTTGCAACCAGAAGCTGCTCTTCATATTAGTGACAAACAATGATAAAAACAGCTTTTTGACAAGTTTAAAATTCCTTTAAAATACATTCAAAATGTTTAAAAATAAACTACAAAAATTAATTTAAAGTGCAAGTTAAAATATATTTGTATCTGCAACTGTATTTGACAATGTTTTGAACTTTAAAAATATTGCATGGTTAAAAACAGAAGCTGCACTTCATATTAGTGACAAACTTTGGTGTTTTTTGATGAGTTACTTTCATTTTTGCTTTTACTTTTCATTTAAAATAGGTTTCCATTCTCGGCAGGTTTTTAAGGTTCTACTTCTACATATTAAAAAAGTTGTAAAACAACTGAGTGGCACACTACTGCTACTAGTGGTGAGAAAGGATATTGCAACTTATTCAAAATCAATGCGTTCCCGTGGCCCTCTGAGGCCCGAAGTTAAAAACTGTTGTTCTTTTGAGGCCCTCAAGGTGGCGCTCGGCTGCGACCTATGGGTTAAGAGTCTCTGCAATAGGCTGTCTTCTGGTCCAGGCCTTCCAAAAAAAAAGAGATCTGCGATCTGAATGGGATTTGCCTGGTTAACTAAAGGTCAATAGTTTACATGTTGATTTAATTTGCCTCCTACATCGCAACACCTGCAAAGGGACTATTGTGCACATTTACATTGCGACGACGATGCTCAAACAATATCGCCAAACTGTCGGCACCCCGATATGATGCTTCCTGTTTTCTCTCCCCCAGCGCTGGCATTGCTGTAGGATTCTACGGAAACGGGGAGTCGAGTGATGGAGCCAGTCGACTGGCGTACTCCCTCCGTCATGCCAACCGCACTGTATCTGGGGTGGAGAAGCTGGTGAGTTGTCAGCTAGACTGYCTAACATTTGGCCTTAATGATAAACTCTAGAAGACACTTTTTTCCATTTTTGTCTCCAGGTGTCGGACAACGCCCAGGCCTTAAACCAGACGGTGGAGGAAAACTTGGTCCAGCTAGAGACAACGTTCCAGGATCAGACAGACTTTGTGGCCATTGTCCAGAAGCTGCAGGGACAGCTAGATGAGCTGGTGAGGCTGATGGTTGATGTTCCCTTCTGGTCCAACACTGACATCTCCCTGGAGGACTTGGCTCAAAAAACGGAGGCATTTGACTTTTACAGGTGTGTAGAAGCAACAGTTAGAAAAAGTATTTCATGGACATTTTGAATATTTTGACATTTTACTTGTGGATAACACATATAAGCATAAATCGCTGTTTTGGAATAGTGAGCAGCATGTTAAAGCCACTCACCACATCCTGCAGTGGCAATAACATTGAAAAATAACAAAAATTAAAAAGARATAGAAATCTGATTGTTACCTTGACAGATGGAAGCTGTGGTCTATATTTAGTAATAATCAGCCTTATTCCAGTTGGTTCGGATGTTATCAGTCCATTAAAAGGATTTTATTAGCGGTTATCAGTCCCATAGAATGGCTTCAGACTGTCCCGACTAGACTGGCTTCATACTGTCGTGACAGTGCCCCCTAGTGGGTTACCAGTGCCATATACGTTGGAAGGCAACAATCTGCAACCGCTGGATTCTGGTCTACTTTATTGTAGCCCATGTCATTTTCTCTAAAATTAACCTTAGTGGCTTTATGCCTCATATTAATAACTGACAGTCTGAAGCCATTCTATGGGACTGACAACGTCTAATAACGTCCATTTAATGGATGATAACATCCGAAACGGGTGCTTATTCTTAAACTACTTCTGATGGATATTGAAATTATTTTTATCCTATTTTTTGTCTCTATTTCTATGCAAAACTCTTATCATTTGTGTATTTATAGATGGTTGGGATATCTTGGCTTGCTGCTGTTTGATGTTCTCATTTGTCTCCTGGTGCTCTTTGGTCTCATACGAAACTCTCGAGGCACTCTGATTGGGTAGGTTCTGCTGCATCATACCTCAAAATCTGCTCCCATTGGACAGATGAATCCCTGATTAAACTCTAGAACTGGATGTGCTAAATCTGCAGCGTGCATGTCACACGAGCTGAACCTTGACTTTTAAAAGCTTTTTTTTTTCAGCGTGTGTCTGCTCGGGGTTCTGACTCTGATAATCAGCTGGGGTTCTCTGGGCCTGGAACTGGCTGTTGCTGCCGTAAGTGTAACCATGGCAACACCGCCGAGCTCTCTGGCTCTGCGGTGATGTAATCTCTACCCGGTGGCGGAGCGTCTGTGCGCGTGCGCCGAGCGTAACCAAATGTCTCGTGTATGCTCCTCCTCTTACAGTCTGCCAGTGACTTCTGTGTTTCCCCGAATACCTACATCACCAGTGTAACCAAAGAAAACGCCGTCATCAACCAAGGTCTGCAGACAAAACACAAACACAGCACACAGTAGATTTAACTAAATCAACTATAAACACCCTTTTATGATTATGGGTGAAATTAGTTCCTCATATGAACATGTTTGGTTGAAGTAAAGACGTGCAGACTGGACTCCAGGGACTCTGACAGTTAAATCTCCACCAGCAGTCTTGGTTCTATTTTTAGGAACGAGTGTGTGTTCTTTTTTGTTTGTGCACAAGTGTGCTTATATCCAGTGGGATTGTGTTTGATTGACATCCGGGTATCTGAAAGCTCTTCGCGTCTCTCTGCTGGCTGCAATGCATCAGCAGCTCTGCACTCCCAGCTCGCCTTTCCTCCTGCTCGTCTCACTGGTGTTACATAAAGAATTCTCACATTTTTTTGTGTGTACCGTTCTGAACTGATTTGTTGTCTCTATCCCCCCCCCCCTTTTACATTACACTTTCTCTCTCCTCTGCTAGATTCATATTCCTCTTTTCACTAATAATTCCTGCTTATTATCKTGTATTTGCAGAGTACAGATGTTGCACTCGTAGCATTTTGTCTGAGTAAAACTGCAAATATTTTATGGCTTAAAAAAATTGTGCAAATGCATTTTCCACTGGTATCTAACATTATATTGATACTTATGTACTGATGCATTGCCAGATATCCTGCAGTATTACCTGAAGTGCAGCTCTGGACAAGCTAATCCCTTCCAGCAGGTAATTATGTTGTTCCCGATTGTTTTTATTGAGTTGTATTGTGGCTCTTTTCTGAGATCTTCTTTTTCTAGGATTTGGAAGAATAAYGCATTAAAACAAATTCTAACAAATAATTTATGTTTGTGAGCTTCTTTTGCATCTTTGTTTTGTAGAGGCTGTCAGGGAGTCACAAAGCATTGGTGGAGATGCAGGATGATGTGGCAGAGCTACTGAGATCAGCAACACGTGATTATGCCAGTGCCAAGGTGTGTGTGTGTGTGTGTGGTTGGCAGCATAATAACAGTAGAACTGGGCAATGTTGCCGTTATACATAGTAGAGTTGTTTTCATATTCTCAAAGTCAAACAGCGGGGTACTTTGTCACGTAATCGTGTTGTAGACGGAGGCTGACATATTGGTTTGGGGGAAAATAGGAGGAGTTCCTCTGGGTGGAAAATAGGAAAAATGGTGAAAAAGTGCTGTAAAAACACTCCGAAAAAAAAAAAATTCTGACAGCAAGAGCGAGGGGAGAGAAATAAGACACGTGTGGTGTCGTTCTGCCTCTGCAGACCTCTGCTCTTCTCCTTGTTTAAAAAGAACTGCCTCATCGTTTTGATTCAAAAGACACTAAAGCTGGCTAAACTGAAGAGTAAATGCTCTAAAACTACACCCTAACTATAAAACCCAAACATGTTAAATGTCATAGATCTAATAACTCAGTCCTGCTCTCATCGGCTCTCCATCGCCTTTGATCTCCATTCAAATTTAATGTCTTTTTATTTTCTTCTTCCTGTTGATTTTTTACTGCTCGTCAGATATCTTTGGGCCTTGGTCAGAAAAGAGGTCTGGGGGTGGGGGTGGGGGTCGATAGCAGTGTCTTTTTTTCCACAAGATTACCGTGTTTCCTGCTCCCTTCAGCTGCAACGTGTATCAAAAAGAACAATCAGAAAAAAAACCAAACATAACTTATATTTTACTCTCACTCAGGAATAAAGTGTGCAGTAACTAAGTTAATTTATAAGAAAATCATTTTGTGTTGTTTTGCTGCATTTATAAGCAACAGTTTGCTGTAGCAGGGTATGAGTATTATTTACAGAACAAATATAATAAGACGTTTTTATGTCAATAGTTAGCTGCAGCACTGACTGAGCAACGATAAACGGCAGCTTCAGCGCCTCCATGTTAATTATTCCACCCACTTTTGAACAACGTTACCGCCTACTTTKCACGGATGCTGCCGCCCGCAGAGCGTGGGCACAGTTGCAGTGGCAAATCACCTACACCCGAGCAGAACCGATCCAAGTGGAGCCGCACTTAGCAGTGGAAAAAAGCCTGATGCAAAGTCAGATTCACTTTTGATAGATACAGCTTTTGCATAACAACTGGAGGTAGCATTGAACTGGGCTGTGTGCATGGAAAATAATACCCTCCTTTAAAATGGCCACTCACGTATTCATCTTTTGTGTGTACATGTTGGTAAAAGAGGATATCTTTTAAATTTGAGCGCATGTTGAATGTGTGTTTGTGTGTGCGCAGGAAAGTCTCGAACAGATCCAGTCCGTGCTGAACTCTACCGAGGTCGGTCTGCACCAGCTGACTGCTCTCGTGGATTGTCGCAGCCTACACATGGTGAGTCACTTTGTGTTTTCTTTAACGGTTTAATCATCATTGAAAGTCCAAGCTGATGTCTCTCCTCTCCTCGTTTGGAAGGACTACGTCCAAGCGTTGACCGGGCTGTGTTATGATGGGGTGGAGGGTCTCATCTACCTGGTTCTCTTCTCCTTCGTCACGGCTCTGATGTTCTCCTCCATCGTGTGCAGCGTGCCACATACTTGGCCGAGGAAGAGGTATCACGCACGCACAGCCGCGTTTTTTTTTCGTCACGCACGTTTTCCTTTGCATAGCGTGGCTCAGCTCAGTTACCAAACAGGAGGCCTGTGTTTACTGYGTGAGTCTGGGTTTATAAACTGAGAGGAAAAACTCGTGCTTGGTGGTAATATTGCTATCCTCAGAGCTGGTAACACACTCTGCACAGCAACCAATCTGCACACACTCTGGAAAGGTTTATGTCCTGTTTCTGTCAGCGTCACAAAGTGTCCAGTGATAAGCAGCTGATCCCACCCACGTTGAGGGGATTCTAGCTACACTGGGAAGCTAAGCAGAGAAATGTTGAGTTGAGTCATATGATGCAATGGAAAACCCTTGTATTGGCAAGACAGTACCCTTTTAAACACCTAAATCCATGTGTTATTAACTTGTGCACTAATGACTGGCATGTTACTAACTTCTTATCGTCTAAGTGAATCAAAAAACTGGATTGAAAGACAGCAGAAAGATTCATAATGAAATCCACCTGGTGCCCATGCATGTCATTGGTTTAGGTGCATTTTCTTCCCAAACTGTTGTATTTCTTTGTACGTCTTCCCGCCTGTCTTTGCATCTCTGCAGTTTTCTCTTGTTTATTTCACTGTCTGCCTTTAGCTCCGCCAGTTTGGCCGATGGTTTGTTTCTTTGTTTGTACACATCTCTGATTTGCTTTTCTCCCCTGTGGACTTGGAGCACCAGCGTCGTGTTGGACAATATGTCACCACGCATTTTTTTTTCTTTAAATTCTGTGCCCCATTTCCTCCTTCTGTTCCTTCCCTGCCTTCTCTCTCCCTGTCCTGATTTGGAAATGTTTTGGGCTTCAGCAAATGATTGTGGAAACTGAGAAAACTGAACGACCCCCGTGGTCAGATAATCAGCCCATTACAACGACTAAACTCAGTAATAAAATCGATGGGTTTTACTCTGATAAGATATTAGAATAATACAACACAGCTGCACCTGTGGTGTTTGGATCACAGGCAGAACAAGTTTATGGCCCAGCAGGTATTAAATAGTGAATTGTTCTGTCTCTGATTAATCATTCACTTTGATGGATTTTTTTAAGCAGACTCCTACAGAGCTTGAATGGTACAGCTAAGCTTAATTTTCACTGAAAGAGCCAAACATCTCCCTCTGGTGGTAGGACAGAGTAGAAACATCTCCTCCTCCTCACTGTCTCTGTAAACTCAAATATAGTAAAAACATTTTCACTCTGATGTGGTTTTATTGCTGATATTGAAGCAACAATAAAAAAAAATTTAAAATTAAAAAAACAGCAAGGAAAGGTGTTTTTGAAAATGTTGACAAATCTACATAGTATTTTGTGAATGATCCAGTCCCTTTCTGTAGCCAGAGATCCAACTTCCAAATCAGCACTAGTCTTTTTTTTAATGCCATTCTGTTACATCGCTGGCCGTTTTACATTTTTGACCATTTTATGTCAGAAAAATGGTTTCAGCCATTTTTTTCAGTTTTGCCTGATTTTTTTTAATTTTACTGTTTATTTGTTTATTTTTGCCTTATTTTTCATAGAGCACACCAAAGCGCACAAATTATATCGGTAAAAATTCTTACTAAATTTTGATTTTGGTTGGACATTTCATCATAGTCGGTAAAACCAGGAGCCAAACCACTCTGTTAATAAAGGATGACGTTGCGAAGGAAATTACTGCATGGTTGTCTTCCAGTTTGATCTTAACGAACATCACATAGAAATACATTGAATTTCCTGAGTCCAGCCTGGACTCCTTGGYATTTGTAGTGGATGTGTTTCGTAGGTGAATGCCGCCAATGATTCGTTTCTTCGTGTTCAGCTCCTTTGGGGCTTGAGTCATGGCTTCACACAGTCTTGTGTATCCGGGGAGCTCCTTCCCTCTCCTAACCTCCTCTTCAACCACTTGTTTACACTCTGTTGTCTCTCTCGGATCTCCCTCCCCTCTACCTTCCCCACCCTCCTCCCTCTTATCCATCATGCCCTCTCATGCCCCCCACTCTTAACCTGACCAATCAAAGGACGGATGAGGAGGATGGAGAAGACGAGTCGGGCGCATCACGTGGCGGTGTGCACGATAACCTGTACCGCGTTCACATGCCCAGTCTCTACAGCTGTGGCTCCAGCTACGGTAGCGAAGCTAGCCTGCCCGCTACAGCCCACACTGTCAGCAATGCCCCCGTCACTGAATACATGTGAGTTAGCACCCACCGCTGGCTAGAGGCTGGCAGAATCTCTGTGCCACATGTAGCTAATGCTTACCCCCTGTATCCCAAGCTAGAGGCATAATTTGATTCACTTCTTGTGATATAATACTATAAGAATAGTTATTTTATTGTTAATAGCTCCCATGTCGAATGTGATTTGTCTTTCAGTAATATTTGTCACACAAAAAAAAACCTTAGTTCAAATTTTCCTTAGCTGTTTCTTGTGGTAGCAAGCCTGCCCATTTATTCTCACAATATTTCCATAAAGTTGTTAAGAACACCAAAAAAAGTGATTTGATTTTCCAATCATAAAAAGAATCGTAATTTCACCTTGCATGCAACGTGTTGTTGCCATGGGTCAGAATTAGTACACAAAAAGTAGAGAAACAAATAAGCACAGAAGTCTCAGCTTGTATCGCTCTTTTAGCTAATCTATTGTTTTCTGCAGAGCTTTGAATCAGGAAATAGGCCATACATAGTTGCTGAAATTCAAAAGATTATGATTTCTCTTTGATGGACCACATTAGTCATATCAAATGACTTTCAGGTTTAAGGTGATTAAAATAATTGACTGATTGTTTGGTGATAATATATCCAAAGTATTGTGGAGGAAATTAGCCAAATTATAGTTCTGTTTTATACCAGAATATTATAAAAACTAGACTGAAAYTTGTCCTATATCCTAAATACTGTACTATTTTACTTATTTTTTTTAGTGTTCAGCACAACGTTTTGTTTTTTTAAGAAATTGTTTTTAATAGTTCCTGAATTTGGTTGTCCTGTAATGATAATTAGACATTATAGGTGAAAGAACCAAAAATTGAGCAGTGATGAACATTGATTATTATTATTTGTTAGTTTAAAAAAGTTGTGGAAATATGTTTGAATAACTCAACAATTTAGAAACAATTGAGTTGAAAATTCTTGTAATTGTTCAGTTTCTTCTTTCGTTAATTTGACAACTCATATTTTCTTTTTATTTTGCATTTCCCCAACATATACAACATCAGTCTGAGTTTCTAGGATTGATCAAACAAACTAAAATAGTAATATAAACAAAAGTAAGTGGGGCTTTTTTGGCTTCTAATTAACTTAGCAAAAAATGTTTTGGACCTTACCTAAAATGTATTTTTTATTTTTTTCAAATTTACACCACATTAGTGCAGTGATTGCAATGTTATCCTAACAATTACCAACATATTTTGAACACTTCATGTGCCCAAGACCAGTTTTATTTGGCTCTTCTCTCATAGTCCATTGAAACCTTGTAAGAATTTTATTTATTTATATTTTACACTATTCAAAAATAACATCTTGTTAGGATATCAAGCTCAAGTTCTTTTTAATTCTAACTCTAATACTGAGGTTTATATAACAAAAGGCATTTGTCAGAGACTTCATGAGCAGTTCAGATATCAGCAGCAGATCAGGAGCTCAGTGGCAGGGTGACCACATGCAGTAACCTCTTATTTTACAATGCAGGAGCCAGAACGCAAACTTTCAGAACCCTCGGTGTGAGAACACCCCCCTGATTGGCAGGGAGTCCCCTCCACCCTCTGTAAGTGCACACTTTTTAGATCACACTCTCCCGCCTGCTGTCTTCCAATGCCCACAGCACAGCTGGGAAAATTTTAAACCACAGAGATTACGTTTCGTTGCTTTACCTGTAATGATGGTGTGAGTTATGTACCATCTGATCTCTGATGTTTCATGGCATGCTGTGTGTGGATATTGGAAGGTATTGCTCTTTCCCTACACCACTGCAAGTGTCATTTGTGCTCAAACTAGACCGTGACCATGGATCGCCCTCACAAAGGTCATTTTGGCAGCCAGGGAAGACGTGAAGCTTAAAAAGAACCCTGTTGTTGGTATCATTTGCACTTGCACCAAAGGAGGGAGTTTATTGATTAGATATGTTCATAATGTGTCATATGAAGCACAAAGTTAGCCTCTATTTCTGATGTAGTGAGTCCGGTTAGTTTCAATATGGCTGTAAGTGATATGTGAGGAGAATATACTGACCACGTGCCTTTTTTTTAACACTTTTTGTTAAATCCAAGTACTGTCTGTTGTGTTTTGGACTCTGAACTGCTGGGCCTGTAGTAGTGAAAGTTTTCTATCAACAAAAATCAGCTGAACAAATTGTCCATAACAATGCTATGGACTGAGAACAACTGAACAAATCTGTTATTATGACTATTTAACATGTTTTAAATATGTTCTTTGCTCTGTGTCGCCTGACTGAAACACTGCTGTCGAGCTCAGTGATGTTTTTGACAATTCTTCTGTCCAAACAAATACAAGCCCAAACCTCTAAAGGTCCTGCCTCCCCTCCCCCCTGTTCCCACACTGTGTCTATGTGTGCATCTTCTAGTCAAGGTGTATGTGTCAGCTGTTTCTGTGCCTCGTCACCTCCATTTCCATCTCCATCTTCGACTGCTTATGCATAGTCGGGTCGCGGAGGCAACAAGTCCAGGAGAGAAACTCTGACATCCCGCTCTTATTTGACACATTCCAGCTCATCCTAGGGGACCACAAGGCTTTCCCAGGCCAAAGATGACAGCCCCTGGGTTTTTCCCAGGGGCGTCCTACCAGTGGGACGTGCCCAGAACACCTCTAAAGGGAGGTGCTCATTCTTGTTCTTTCAGTCATGATCCAAACCTCATGACCATAGGTTAGTGTTGGAACGTAAATCAAGAGCTTTCCCTTTCGACTCAGCTCTTTCTTCACCCTAACTAACCAGGCAACACCCTCATCACTGAGGATGAGAACCCAATCCGTCGAGCCATCTCCCTCTCTATCCTAAATATTGCCTCCTTTCCTTGAGGCATAGACTCCCTCCAACCCAGAGGTGGCATTCCACCCTTTCCAGTCAAGATTCATGGCCTCAGAGTCAGCCACTTCACACTCTGCAGTGAATCACCCCAGTCCTTGCTGAAGGTCTTGGCCCGAAGACGCCAACAGAACCACATCATCTGCATTAAGCAGAGATGAGACCCTTGAGATCCTATCCATGAACACCACAAACAAGATCAGAGACAAGAAGGGACAACTCTGGCAGAGTCCATCCCACACAGAGAATGAACTCAACTTTGTGCCAAGAATGTGGACACAGCTCCTGCTTTGGTTATACAGGGCTGGATTGCTCTTAATATCCACCCAGACACCCCATACTCCTGTAGCAACCCTCTCTGAATACCTTTAGGAGGAGTCATAAACCTCCAGGTCCACAGAACAATTCTTGGCTAGAGAGCAAAGGTGAAGATCCTGTCCATTGTTCCACAACCAGGATGGAAGCCACTATGCTCCTCCTGAATCTAAGGTCCCACAGTCAGTCGGAGCCTTCCTTCCAACACACTGGAGTAAACTTTTTCAAGGAGGGCAAGAAGTGTGACCCCACGACAGATCGAACACACTTTCCAGTCCCCCTTTTTAAAAATGGGAACTACCACCCCGGTCTACCACCATGACAGCCCCATAACATCCAGAGCCATCAGCATCTTTGGGCAAATACAGCTTTGGTTGAAAATTCTGCCCTTGTCTTCCCTCGAGTGTCCAAGGCATAGGGCCACAGGTCAGATGACACGATTAAAAAAAAATCAATCATCATCAATACTGTATCATCAAACCTTGGCCTATGCTGGCCTGGTACCAAGTACAGGTATGGACCACCCTATGTTTGAATGTGGTGTTCCTTATGGATAACCCATGCCTAGCACAGAAGTCCAATATGTGAACAATCTGTTCTGACCCTCCCTCAAGGCCTGTTTGTCATGGGAGACCCTACCTACTTCGTCACTTTTCACCTCTAAACAGCCTCAGTAGCATTAATCTCCTGCCTACACTGTTAAACCTTTGCAGCTGGAAATAAAGTTAACCATTTTTTAGACAGGAGGCTGTTGACTGGTTCGCCTTCAGTGCACTGCTGACCTTCTGTTGTCTACAGTGATGTGAAAAGCACAAACCTTCTACTGTAACTACTAAGGTGCTCAACACAAGACCACTAACTCATACAAGGCTAACCTACTACTGCATCAGAAAATAGAGCACTAACTAAACCCAAATCACATCTGCCAATTTAACAACATCATGTAGATCTAATCAGACCTAATCAATAATGAATGACTGTTGGAATCAAACCCTGGCTGTCCAAATGACTGGTCACATGATCTCTCTTTTCTGTTTATCTCTCTATCTGTCTTTTTCCATCATGGTTTTCCTGTCTTCTTTTTGTCCTTTCTTGGTATTTCTGTCTCTTCCTCTTCACTACTCATTGTTTTCCTTTCTTGTGCTCCCTCTCTTCTTCTGTGCCCCCCCCCCCCTCTCTCTCTCTTTTTAGTACACCTCCAGTATGAGAGCAAAGTACCTGGCCACCAACCGACCGGACCAGAATCGCCGCTCTGTTCCTAATGACCAATTGGATCCTGCCAGCCGACCTCACCCCGCCGCCCGACCACAGTCCTCGGTCCAYTAGAGACCACTTCAATTCGGCACTGCCCCAATCCTGTTCTCGCAGCCAAAAGCCAGACTCGACTCAGCGCTCATGCCAGAGCTCAACTAAGTGCATTTAGGAGCCCACTTCGTACAAGCCTGATTTATTTCACCAACATTTCTTCAGAAACAGCACATCAAGTCGGAACTCTTCAATCAATGCAAATGACTGCGTTTAGAAAATTAACTGACTAATCTCCTACTGTTATCTTAAAAAAGGAAAATCATCCTTGAAGGTCACTATTTCTTCTCCTCTTCGTTTAAAATCTTCACTCAGCTGTTCATTCCAGTACCACTGATGGATCAGCTCATGTACCCACAATGCACAGCAACGTGAAAGCCTCTACACAATTTCTCCTTCTGTTTGTCAGATATTTCCTTCTCCTCTTGGACTTGTACGMTGACTTTCTGGTCCTTCGCACCACTCGACTCCCAGTCACCTTTACATTCAGACCACAAACAGGAAAGCACATGCTCACATACGCACATACCCCCACACACGCACACACACACACACACACACCTGCTGTACAGACCTGTAAATAGTCAACATGCGCTTTATTCTGATCTCATTAAAAAAAAAAAACAGACTGTTGAATCTTTACTGGTTATGTGATGTGCTGCGTGTTTAATATAAAAATTCTTCGGCGTTTCTCTTGTACGAACACACAGACACAAACTGGCGAGCGAACAAACTGAACRCACATGCTTACAAATAATAAACCGGAGAACCAGAGAGCCATGTTTAGATAGGAACTGAACTGTGCCACCACATTCACATTTCCACTAAGACTTGAATTGCGTTATTAAAGAAAAGACTGTGTCCACATCTCTTTTCATACTTGTTTACATGCACACATACAGTACACACATTTATMAATATGAGCCAGGAATCGAGTTGTGAAACAACTGCTTGTATCTGAAAAAGGAAGTCAGAGACCACTGACGTCAGAAGGCTCCTCATGTGCCAAAAAACTGGAAAATAAGAAGGATGCCTGATTCTGTCTTCATCTTCTACTGCCTCTGGATGACTGGAGAAAAGGGGAAAAAAGAGCTCAGAAGGAGTATTTCCCCTGTGACTGTCACTGACGAGGGAACAGGAAGAGACACTTGAAAMGGGAAGCAATGGACACATTAATTGCGACTTAACATTTGTAAGGTGCTATGTAAAAGTGTCAAGACCTTGGAAGAAGGTCAAGACTGAGAGGGAAAGAAACATTAATGTTCTTTTTTTTTATTATTATTTTTTATCTAGGATTTTGAGAAGGAACACAGAAAGCAGCAAAAATAAGTCAAATTTCCTTTACACCTGAAAGGAAAGTGTCGTAACCTGAAAAAACAATGTTTAATAGAAGTCACAAATACATTGGGTATAGTTTTTTTTTTTTTCTACTTAAAGGGGTAATTAAGATATTTTGAAGTGTTTTTGGAAAGGCTATGAACAAATAATATATTACCTGTTTTAGATGGATCCTTGAACAGCTTCAGATTGTAGAAAGTGTGTAATTGTTACAAGACTGATGAGCTAATGGCTTTGCAAGACCAAGGCAAAAGTGGATTGCTGTCATCTTAAAACACCACCATTCTCAAAAATTTTAAATTGTTTCAGGAAAATCTAATTTTTTATAAACTTTAGAAATGCATTAAATGCAGAGTAATTTGGCTTGCTTGCAGGAAGTTTCACAAGCTACACTGGAAGTGTTACAGCTAGTTGCTTAACCAAAATAATTTAAATAAATTACTATGTAATTCGAATTTGAGAATTATGTAAATGCTTGTAGAACAGACTTCACATGAATCAGATTTAAAAAAAAATACAGTTGTTTTAGTCAGCAGCAGTCTGCTTTGTTCATGGTCGGATACACTGTAAAAACTGTCCACCTAACCAAGTTTTAAATCTTATATCCAGCCAAAAAGTCTTTTTGATCTTGTTTTGAGACTGATTTACTAAACAAGAACTGATTGTGTAAGAACAATAATCTTGTTTTCAGAATGTGTAGGATTATTTGTCTTGTTAGTCTGGATATTTGACTCAAGTCAAAATTTTCTGCCAATGGAGTAAGAAAAATTTACTTGGTAAGATTCTTGAAATTAAAAAAATTGAGTCAAATCAATTATTTGAAATGACCAACAAAGCATCAAACTGAAAACTGAGGTTTTGTGGGTTAGTTGAGCCAAAGGCAGTAGGTGGGTTATCTTATTTCTCCAAGCTGAGGTCTCTTGTATCTACCTATAATAAGTAAGGTATTCGTTGTTTATAACCATTCCACAGAACCCCAAATTCAAAAGATCTGAACAATCTCTTTAAGTACTTAAGATACAATACAAGCTGTTGTATTCAATTCCTTACTCCATATTGTTGTGTCTTCTCTTGAAGATTTTATTTTGCTAACCGGTTTCCATTTAAAGAGATATTTTTTTCTTCCTTTTGTTTTTACGGCTCAAGCACAAATTCTGTTCAGGATGACTTTATGAGATGGAGATCTAAAACTCACTGCCTGGGACACTGCCAGTGGCTTTTCCTYGTGCTCTAAACACTCTGTGTACAGTGTATAAAACTAATAGTTGTAAAACTGTGTGTATGTGTGTGCGAACCGCAGCGTGATTGGCTCTTATCTAGTTCAGTGTAACTCTGTGAGAGTACAGTTGATCAGTGTGTCTGACTGGCTGCCTATGTAACCCGAGTCACGTCTACATCGCCGCTGCGCACACAGTAACGCACACCTATATGCACTCATACATTCAAGCATCATTTAAAACCTCTCATTCCGTAGTTTTGTCACGTCTAGAGCTGTAGGAACACCATGCTCCCCTCCAACTGATCTGCATTATTAGCTGATAGGAGAGACAGCATTTCACAGAAACCTGATTTTGCAAGCGAGCGAAGCCCTAACTGTCGATCACTATCCTCACGCACCTGTTTAATATTTTTCAATCAATCAACCACTTCTCGTATTAGCGAGACAATCTTACAGGCGTGGTTTTGTTTTGGCAACGATGCTACCTACGCTCTACAGTGTTTTCTTGCACTATTGATGCAAACGTTAAGATCTGTGAGACGAGTCACTGACTGGTGGCCTTTCATAATGTTTTAAGCTCTTAAAACACATCATACCCCAACATGTTTTTTTAAATGTTTCTCTCACTTGTAAAAAAAAAAAAAAAGAAGATGAAGAAGAAGCAGATTTTAAAGTTWAAATAATAGCTAGCTGTTTTGTAGGAGAACCAAGGCAGGAACAGCATTTTCTTCTCATATTAATGGTGAATGATTCTCTGTCTTGCAATGTTTTAATAATAAGACTATTCCAGTGTAGTTCGTACACATGGCTGTAAGTTGTATTTGAAGATCTATGATGACTAATTTTGAAAACAACAACAACAAAAACAAAACAAAAACAAGTTGTTTCTCTCTCTCTCTCTCTCTCTCTCTCTCTCTCTCTCTCTCTCTCTCTCTCTCTCTCTCTCTCTCTCTC